AAAACCCGTACAATGTTTATTCGCCTAGAATAAGCACATTTTAGCTTAGATAAAAAAAACCATAGAGCAGAAAAAAAAAAAAACATACGAGATCCGGATACTTGTCTTTAAGCAGGCGTATTGTTCGAGGCACTAGTCCATTTTCATTGTAAGCTTCATCCCCTGTAGAAGTCTAAACCAGAATTCAATGAAGCTAATATAATTCATCAGCCCCTTAAACACAAATAGAGAAAGGATTTTATTTCCGTGCTAAATAAAATAACGGCCAATAATAAAATGCTAAAAGACTCACCTTTAAAGCATCTGGAACTTTTGGAAAGAGCACAATGCTGTTAACACCAACATCTCGAGCTTTAGACACCTGCACGTTCAAATAAACTATAACTGGTGATCAATTAATGGAAATAACCTTAGCTGCAATCACATTTTTTTTTCTACATTAGCCACTGAAGGAAATTTTAACCAAGAATCTAAATACAAATAACAGAAATTCAAACGATAGAGTCTAATAGACACAAATAGGCATTCCGTTCAGTTTCCAGTTCAGGATCAATACCCGAAGAAAAAAAAAACCATTTGAAGTATTTTGCACTCAGATGCACCTCATTAGCAAACTATATAAAAAACAATAAACACTCCTCGAAAGTATAGAGTTCAAAGTAATAACCTCTTCCACAAGTCCATGTCTCCACCCGAGCCTATAGCAACCCGGCATAGCTCCAATTGGCGTGTCTTCTTTGCCTGCATAAATTAATATAATACATAATCAGAGTTTAACCACAGTTAAAATACATAACAGACATAACGAGTTATCATGTGAAGTTTTCAATTCACCTTCATGAATGAAAAGTGGATAAACCAAATTCGAAGGACTTAAACTAGTCTCTTGGAATGCGGCCCTAAATACCGGTGACCTACGATTTCGACGTGGCCGCTTACGAAGTGGCTGTTAACAAACAATATAACATAAAAAAGAAAAAAAACATCATAAATATTACGGGGATCATAAACAAAGTATAACTACATAAGTTCAACTTTCAATCACACAATGAATCCAAATAACAGCATACATTTACATTACAAAAAACTGCAAAAAAGAACAGAAGATGAACAAATTTGATCCTATCACTTGAAGATGTGTATAATACGTTCTTACAAGCGGGGTCACGGCCGGTGTGCCAGCTGGCGGAGAAGGCTTGGGGGGCACCGGAGGAGCTTCCGGAATATTCCCTGCAACAACAGCAGCTTCACACTCCACGTCACTCATCCCCATTTTCTTTATAGGACCATTTTCACCGGCCCTTATCGTGACTGCCCGTCGTCGTGTGGTCTTTGTCGATCGAGGCCTTGCACAGTGAATATTATTATTCCTATCAACCTTTAAAGGCTTCAGACTTACATAGTCATATTTCACGGCTTTAATGGAATTCAAATTCACCGAGTTCAGCAGTGTTGAGGCCATTGAAGATAAGACTGAAAAGATAATTGGGGGGAAAAAGAAGGGAATTTATTAACCGTTGAAATATATTTCATCTATAGCTAAAATTAAGCATAATTTTCCCAATACGAATGTGGGTTTTGAAAATTTTGATGAAAAAGGCCGAGTCTTTGAGATGGGTTCACGTGATCGTCACTAAAAATCAAAGAAAAACGAGGTGAAAAGGACCTCGAATTGTATGCGACCTTATGAAAGCAAACTAATCAAGAATCAGTAAGAGAGTTAACAATTGAGAAATTTTTTCCAAAAATCACACCTTTTCAGGTGATATAAACCCAGATAAATTTTCTCAATGAAATAAAAAA